AGCCTTACTTCTCCTCAAGACTTATTCGGCTGTTTGCACTACAGAGCGCTAACTTTTCTATTTCTCTCACACGTTTCATCCTCACTCACATTTTCCTCGCCTTTATTTTCTTCTTTTCCCACCTTTTAACACGCAGCCTGTTGCGCTTAGCTTGCAGATCACCTTTTATTTATCATTTCCTCCTCTTCTTCCTCACACCCCTCCACTATCTTCCACTTCTCTCACTGTATCTGTGTATTATTCTAGTAAAAATGGTAAGCAGAGGTGTCATTGTGGTAGTATACTCAGTGCTCAAAGGGTTGCTGATGGTAGAAACCTGTGCCGTTTGTAACATTTAGCAATAACGTCAAAAACAAAGGGGACGGTTCTTTTTTTTTTGTTTTTTATAACATAACGTTAGTTTGTTTTTTGTACATATTGCAGCTCCAGATCATTGCTCAAATCTGTATGTCATTAAAAGAAGAAAAAAAAATGAGAAAAAAACTTGCAATATTGGCATAAAAATGAGAAATAAAAAAAAAGTGATGTAAAATCTCACTTTGTGTTTTTATGATGATTCTTTGATTATTTTTAGCTTGAATCATGATTGTAGCTGAAGAGAAGAAATAACCCATTGACATTTATTTATTTATTTGGTGTGTAAACAACAGCGTCCAATGACGCTTCAACATCTGGTGGCTGCAAGGTGACTGCAGGTGGGGAGGTTTGGGCATTTACCAAGCCCAAATGGAGCTCTTATCTAACGAACTCCCAGTGGATCGTCTTTTCTTTAAGTCCTCTGTCTTTAAAGCTGTTAAAAGCTCTGAATCGCTCTGCTGAAGTGTGCGCACGCACTGACTTTATATGGTCGATGGATCGCAGATTTGCAGGAGATCACAACATCTTCCACCAAAGCCAAACTCAGGTGTATATTACAAAGCAATAAAAATCACTGGACTCACTTTTGTACATTCAGGTCTGAACCCATTACCTCGATATTGAACGAAACACGCAGCCATTGCACTTTAAAGTAATAATTTACAGTGGAACATTAGGGCTATATTTACAGTGAAAAAGTTGCTACATCAGTGCTGCTATATTTAACATTTAACTGGAAATTGGATGGATAATACCAGGAATTGGCCCTTTAAAGAGGAGTTGCAGGTGTTTTGAGTCCCAGAAAAAGATAAGGCCCCTGCGTGCCCACGAGGTGGGTCAAGGACAGCAGCAGAGCCGTTTGTGCAGCGAGGGATTGAGTTATGGCTGATCTGCAGCGTGGGGATCAGACGACACATAAAATGTTGTTTTCAAGTACAAGTTTACACAGCTAGGTGCTTAAAATTCCTAAATATCGATATTATAGCTCATTTCGAGCCTGTTTACACTTGGTTTGAAATGCATCTTGGGCAATCGGGTCACAAGCGGACAGCGTTATATACACGCGTAAACAACCACAGAGATGTGATCACTCAGACCCATTGCCTTGGTGGTCCGGGACACATTAGACAACGTGCTTTTTGTGGTGTAATAGTTAATGTTTCCTGGTCTGTGCCCAGCGAGGACGTCATTGATGCAGGATGTGGTGGTAGCAACTGACCTTGTCCTGGCTGATATCAATTGCCGGAAAACCCCATACAAGCATATTGTTCATTGAAAAACATTTCAATTTCATCCAGACTGGCGCTTGTCTAGTGCTTTGACCTTCTTGAGCAAGGATGGGCAATTCATTTTCCCAAGGGGCTACATAACAAACTGGGACTGTTGTGGAGGGCCCAGTTTGTTATGTGGCCCCTTGGGAAAGTGAATTGTCCACCCCTGCTCTAGTGGGACTTGTGGAGCTAGTAAGAAAATGAACTGAAGTGGTTAGCTGAACACCTCGAAGATGCATAATAGGTGTTAACAGCAACGTGTCTCTGCTATCCACTTGTTTGATTCATTGAAATGCATCTTATAACCAAATGCAAATAGGGGGTTTGTTTTTTCTCAATGTCTTCTAGAGGTGCTTGTCACAAGCATCGAGCTAAACGTCAAGCTAAATGAGCTAAGTATCTTTGCGTTAGCTCATTTAGCGCTCAGAAACTTTAAACTGCCAACACTTAAACATTAAAGGTTACTCAGTATCTTTGGCTCAGATTCTGCCTAATAAAGCCGACATGGTAATCACCAGCTCAAAGTCAATTTAATTTTATTGATTGATTAGGTATTCTTGGCTTTGTAAAACTGATTAGATAAGTTTGAATTTCAATCTGTGGTGTAATTGCTAAAGTCTCACTAATAGAGGGAATTTTGGGAGCAAATTAGGAACAAGTAAAAAATTGTACATTTTTCACATCATTTGAATATGAATACTTGTACATTCCAGTGGGAAGGTACAATTTGTGCAGCTGTAACAGTACAGTTGGACTTTAGTGACAATAAGCTTTAAAGGTTACATAAATAAAATACATTCCTTCAGCAGA